CCTTGGTAAGGGTGTTTGTGAGGCACTCCGTTGCACCAGCTCGGTGGGAGAGCGCAGTCCACCTCCCGAGAGAGCTCAGGCGGGAGATGTAGCTCATGAAGAAGAAAAGGTGCTAAAGCATCCAAGCGGCAACCCCCGGGGTCACTGACAAAGCGAATTTAAACACTAGTGGTGAGTTCATCTGAGAGAAAATTGTTTTATCAAGCCAAACAGAGATAAAACATTCTGCTTTGTGCATGCCTACCCCAAACTAAAATGCTTCATTGTATTTTCCAAGTGGAAAAGTGAAACGTAGAGAGAGCTGCTCCAAGTTTATGAACAGAAAATATGATTTTAGTGGAAAGGTTTTTGCATTGCATTTTCTATTGAAACTGTATTTTAACAAGAAATTCCCTTTCATCTGTAATCAAACGTATTCTTTCATACCCACAATCTAATATGTAGGTATTTTTAACATCAAATTATTTTGTTCATAGCCAGTTTTCATCCATTATTTACTAAAGCAAAATTTTAAGGATTGCTTTTATGCAGCTGATTAAACCACTAGTTCTGGGAAGCAAAGTGCCATTAACTGAAGCAGTTTTTTAAAAGGTTATGGTAACAAAACCTTCAATCATTAAGGAATACCCTAAGATTAGAATATGACTAAAAACGTGCTTTCCTTTCTTGAACCATCTATACAGTGAGTGGTTTCATGTTTTTATTTATACCAATATTAGTCACTGATTCATTAATATGAATTTTATTTGATTCTACATGAATTATATGTTTTTCCTTCTAGCCACAGGCAGGAGTTGTTTGACTGCTGGCTTTAATCCAAATACAACCAGTGGAGTTACTCAGAGAAGCATATTAGCAGTAGTATATACTACAACGTTTCAAGCCCAGAGGACCTAAAAACCGTGTATATTGCCAGTACCCTTCAAAGAGTTCAAAATATTCTGTAGACAGAAAATAGGATGGGAAGTCATTGTAAAGAAAGTGAATTAACTTTAGTCTTTGTACTATGTCTGCACATCAGAAGTGATTATTGCAGTTTTCTTAATGAATTCAGAAGAATTTTGAGCAGCAGTGAACAGGATTTCAGATAAGGAGTTGGCTTCATAAATAGAAAGTGTTCTCTTGTGGAATAAATAGTTGTTATCACCAAGGCTCACTTTTTATTATATTTGACAAGTCATACTCTGCTGCGGCATACCTTGCTCGTGCTGTAGATGGTTTGTGTCTGCCCCATGTTGCACTTCATAATTAACCGGACCAAACGCTGGAGGAAGCAGGGGAAGTGATTTTGCCCTGTCTGTGTTTTTCCATCTCTCTGCGCTTCTTTGATGTGTGTGTAGGCCCTGTATCCTCCTAGGCAGGCAGTTCTAGTGGAACCGTGCTTTGTTTTAAGGTGACATTCCTGTTGTGCCGTGAAGAAGTTCAAAAGCTCTCCTCTGCGAAGTAGTGCAGCAGAGCAACAGGAGAGGAGACGCTGTCACAGACGTCCACGTTCAGTTGCTGTGGGAACTTGTAGAAAGTGAGAGTCAGATAAATTTAATTGGACAAGCAGACGCCACATTCCCTCCAGTTGCTGCCGCTTTGGCTCTGAAAACCCGAAACGCTGTCCCCTGAGGGACCAACCTGCTCGGTTGCTTTACGTCCATTTTCCTGCAGCAGACTTTATGCGCGCTGTCGCTTCCTCCTGATGTTCCTGAACAGTTTGAGTATGATAATGAGCTGGCAGGCAGGTTTCTCATTTTCCTGAGTGTATTTTTACTGCGCTTCATGTATTTTCTGATTTTTTTTTTTTTTGGTGTATCTTTTCATGTGGAAAGTAGAAAG